AAAAAAGTATGCGAAGGAGGAAAAAGAGAGGCGTCAGCAGTATCCTGTTTTCGCTTACCCGCCCTGCTGTATGCAGTAAGTAAGGCGATCCGGCTGATGGCACCACGCGACGGCCGATGTGTAGGTCATGGTTGTACGAGGGCTGGGATACTGCCAGGGCGCCCACACCTAGACAGGAGGACGATTAGGGTCCTCAACCAAAGCCTTTGGCTCAAAAGCCTAACCACAAGGCAGCGGTGTTTGGCGGGAAATGCACATGCATTACCATTTCTACGGAACAAGTAGCCACATGTTCCAACCCCCAACCTGGAGGGCCAGGAGACTGTGTTCGTCAGACCTCTAACCATTGACGAACCTGGTGTGAGAGACTCTGTGAGTGTCGCGGGACACTCTCCAGTATAGCTCAATGGATCGCTGAGGTGCGCGAACCGTCACACCACGGTAAGGTCCAGTCTCTTCTTGTTAGGTTCATGACTATTTAGTTCAACAAACATCAATTACCTTGATACTTCCAGTTATTCACTCGTCCATTCGGAGACATTAAACAAGTTCTCACTGTGATATTTCAGCTAAGTAGGTTAGTACTGAGCGATCATGTGGAACGGACATGTGGACAATGGACGACCCTAGCATTTATTATGACTGCGTATGCTGAATTCGCAGTAGCTACATTTCATTCTGTCAGAACTATATTATGCTTCCGCCGCTTTTCCATTTACTGACGACTTTTTTCTATTCCCCTACTTTCCCTGTTTTATTATATGGTTGAAAGATCCCACCCATAGCACCGGACACTCAGAAACAGGTGGTTGATTTACTGGGCCTAGAAGCCGACATATCCACATCTAATCACGTCAATTCAACGGGTGATATATTCGAGTCTTTGGGTCCTGAAAACATAATGGGTAATATAACTCCGGATTCGAAGTCTACCTCCATCTCATCTGCTCCTCAACCCATTGTAAGTTGCAGTGTGCCATTGTATTCCTCCCGGGTTTTTTGGTTATGTCGTCTACTTTGTTCCACGTATGCTTCTCGAATCATTCTCCTTTTTTTCGAGAGTTCATCCATTTGAAGAAAATATGTTTACGTGATACTCTTTTGCCCCCATTTCGTTTGCACCCTTGCGATTGTGTGTTCACTTGAAGTGAGTAAAGAGACCAAATATGATCGCTATTATGTGTTGATATTCGGTCCAAAAGCTAGCCCTGACGAAACTAGCAGCGCGAGGCAATAGATGGTAATAATGCGTGCTGAATGACGTTTCAAGGTTGTTCAGCACCCTTTTTGTCACATAACTTTCATTGTTCATTTTGGTTGAGTGTAGTTGCTCAAGGTAACACGTGGAACAGATCGCGGATACGGCCATACATTTGCCATGACCCGTTGTACGGGGAAAGGTTGCGTCCACAACTGTACGAAAAACTGGTCGCCGTAAGCGTTACAGGGGAGAGTCTCCGCACCACGTCTTCCACTGAATCTACAAACCTACTCCAACAATGTCGCTACCACAGTAATGTTGGCTGTGGGACGAGACCGCTCTGAGGAAAACAGCACTGTGTTTGATATGTTTGTCAAAGTGTTCGTTTGCATTGGGCGTTATTATCCGCCTTTTATTATCCATTCATCTGTCCTCATCTGGCTGCACGCACGCTTTTCGTTGCGGTTATTATGTTTCCATCGTTTCCCATGGTGGAGTCATAATCTCGATTCATCTGACAGACAGTTGCCTAAGCTACGCTTTGCCAGGTAAATCTCTCTCAATCTACGGATCTATCAAGCCCTTTCCGTATACATGGCTTAGCTCGGAAATACCAGAATTTCGGCTTCAGATGTACACCATATAGACATTTCTATTGTTGCGTTAACTTGTACATACTTCCAAAATCTCTAGGTACGCAAACCTGGCATTCATTGCTGCGTGGACGGAGTTCAAGCGAGCGGGCATTAGTGGTCACATGATTAAGTAATGGTTCAACTAGAAATCGGCACATCTATGCTCACAGGACAGGGCGATGCAGACACATGCAGACATGCATGGTAGGTATGCTATGAAAGGACTCGAAAGTCAACGGTTTGTTGTGTGTTGGATCGTTGCCACAGCGACGAACGCTCTTCTAGGATTTTTCTAGTCCTTTGTTCCGGCCGTGTAGGAAGAAAACTTCGAATGAATACGAACCAATATATTTACTTTGTTACTCTAACCGTGAACCTGGGGTGCTTCAGGTTTGACACCCAATTACAGGAGTAATCGCTCTGGAGAAATGGGTCCATTGTAGGCCAGTTAACTAAGGATAATATCTAAAGGATACAATCAAAGGTGTAGCGCCCTAACACATACATTCCCAGACAGTGTAGTGTTCTCAGTACAATGAGAGGTCTTTTCTACGATTGGAACACGTAATATTAAAAACGATATCCAGTACACGCCAGGCTCGTAGTTCAGTACTCGGTTACGTGGTTGTCGAAGGTATGTACGTAGCCACTATTAGAAGTAGTACAGATGCAAACAAGAAGACAAATTTTACTGGTAATCTTTGTGAGCTACATATCGTTGAGCAACGAAAACCCTCTGGGTTGAGTTTACGTACTGCATAGAATTTTGACGAGAAAAAGTGGCCTCATATACTAACTACTTGTTTCTACTTCAGTAAGCTTATAATGTCTTATCTGACTGCTCCCAAACCCAATAAGTGATTTTCAGTTTTATCAGCCACCGATCTCCCAGAGCCCATAGCGAAGCTAATATGTTGTGGATGTTTGGACCGAAATCCTATCCCGTGCTTTGGCAGTCCGATCCATGATATTCCAAACAGAGAAAATGTGCAGGAACAGTTCACCCTTTAAGAGTGGTCTCTAGCTGAAGAAACATTGCCCATTGCTTTGAACTGAGATTTCGCAAAAACCACATCCTTCGTCACAGATCCAGAAGCATATCTCAACCCAGCGGGTGTAAACCGGTCTTGTCACCTTTGGTACCTAAGCATATCGTCGTGACTAATTGAGTCGAAATTTACATCGGTAACATATTCGGCTCCACTGATGTCTTCTAGAACGAGTCCGCTTTTTGTCAGCAAATCACTCGGCTGATGAGATGTGAGCTGGTGGATGGATTGTTCCTCCTTCAGTTTGAGTGGGCTAGAATAACTGTAGGGGCAACGCCCATCAACTGCCATGTTACCTCAGCAACTACCACCAGCCACAACAGTGTCTTGACTGTACGAAGGTGTGTGCAAATGACACACCAGCTCTTTGTTCATTTGTGCAATCGGAAAAATTGTCGCCACACTTGACCATTTGTTTGGTTTAAATGCCTGTGCTTTATTTTGCTTTTTGTTGTTTGTGCGTATCGGCATTTATGGGAAATTTCTTGTTCAAGAAGATTGGTATTTTTATTCAGTAAATCCAGTGATTTACTGCAACTCAAATTATGGTCCTTGGCATTTGCCTTCCTCAGTAAGCACACTAAAAAGGCTGGCAACTCTCACCCAAAATACTTTTCTCTGCCTATATAAACGTAAAATTGAAGATTATTTGAGTCTTTTACATCGTCTATTGAATTAAACTCTGGATTTTATGGTAGGTGGGTTTCCTGATTTGGCCTCGCTTTATCTTATGTACTACTGGTTTGTATCCACTTTTTCAAGCAAACGAATGTTACACATTCGCAAGGAAGTTTTTCCAACGACCTTTTGGGACTGGACGTGACCAATGCTCCCGTTCACGCTATTACCACCAGTGGTCCAATTTCTCCGACTATCCAGACAAGCGATGCCTCTGGCGTCAAAACGTCAAAGGACGCCATCCTCGCCCTCTACCAGCAGAGCCAGCAGCCTACCGCACCATCCGTATCCTTTCCTGCCGTTACAGGAATTCCAGGGAATGCGTTCGGCCAGTGCGTTTTGGGTGGGAAACCTGACTCCGGGTGGCCCCTTGGTAACTCGTCTGTTGGTTTTCCTGATAAGTCTACCGGAGAGCTGTTCGGTATGTTTTCTATACACCATCGTTTTTCTTGTTTTCGCTTCCTTTTCTCTGAGATAGATCTTCATTGTCAAGCATTATAAGTTTCCCGTGTAGGATGTCCATCGCTTTAACGTATCAGGCCTAATGTAGCAGCAGCCATGCCCCAACTTGTCCGATTCTCGGGTGAACAAGCAGTAATCCATTGTTCGCTCATATAAATGGGTGCTTTATGCAGGATCTTGCATAAGTTCAATTATGTCTTTGGATACAAGCGTGTGAAAACTATTTCTATACAAAATTGTGAGCATTCAAGATGTTTGGCGATTCTTTTTCAGCCTATATGGGTACCTCTTCTAAATCTAGACACTTCTCCACAAAAATTCATCGGCCCCCATTCAGTTCATTGCAATTCGCTGTGCCTCAGCCTTTTAGCTGACAGCTCTTTACAATGCAAACTTCTAACTGATACCCAACACTGATCCGGCCTAGTTTTGGAAATGAACGTCCGTGATTGTTTTTCGTCTATGTCAGGCTTAATCACCCCTTAACTCACTTCATTGTCTTGAAGAAAGATTTGCGTCGGAAAACGTTGCCCAAAAGTAAATTTACCTGTTGTTTTTCACTCTTTTGTAATGAGTGGTTTAAATATTTATAGTTCATTGAAGATGGTTCTTTCATACGTATTCGAATACGAGATGAATACGGTGTTATATTAGGAAGGAACCAGCAATAGCGTATTTTGCGACGTTCATCTTATCCTAGTCCACTATACTGGATCCGGTGGTGTTATGGCTTCAGTTTGACTTTCCGGTATAAGGTGAACACAGAATTACATTCCGCTATGACGAGACTGGACCTTATCGTGGTGTGTTGGTTTATGTATCTTCATGTACCTTTCGTGCGACACTCATGAAATCGAATGCAAGATTGATCGATGGTTATAGGTTTAACCAATACAGTATCTTGATCCTCCTTCCTGGGGGTTCGGACATCTTTTGGCGGTCTGCCACTTAGAAATTACGATGCCCGGGCATCTCCCGCCAAACACCACTGCATTGCAGTTAGGTCTTTGTTTGAGAATCCCAATGGTCCTCCTGTCAAGACTTGGACGCCCTAACAGTATCCCAGCCCATGTGCAATCATGATTCATACAATTAAAAATGCTGTCATGTTACACCGACCGTTGCGCTGTATCATCATTCGGATCGCTTTCCTTGCTGTACACAGCAGGGTGGGTAGGCGAAAACAGGCTGTCTCTGATGTCTACCTGGCACTGCTTGAATCTCAGAGACGTTTTCTCCAGTCCCGAAAGTAATTCAGCCCGACGAATTATCAGACATCAAGTGAAACTCAGCGTGCGCGCTAACCATGAAGCCAGGTGGACACCGAAGACAAAGAAAATGGAATAGGCGCAGAGTACCCTGGATGCCCGCAGATTACTCTGGTTACTCCGTCCGACTGGTCCTCGAAAGCCATTTGTGACGGAAAGCATCAAGTATCAAACTGGTGTGACCGTCACCAGTAAGGAGGGACGCCTCGACCGCTGGGTGGAGCACTTTGAACAGCAATTCTTGTGTTCACCTTCCGCTACCCAGTCGGTTTGTTTAACTGCCCTAGAACCGTAGACAATAAACCTCGGAGGTCTATAACTGCGTCCCGGTCCGGATGACCTCCCATGCCCATCGTTCAAGGACGGGGTTGGAGTCTTCAGTCAGCATTTGTATGTCCTGTTTGCCTCCGTTTAGGAAACGGAGACTCAGACAACTTGGGAAGATCGGTAATGGTGCCCGTTTTCAAAACCTGGCCCCTGTTACATGAAGTAATGACGGGGGTCAGCTTGACTCCAGTTGCAGCAAGAATTTTGGCGTTAGTTGTCCTTCGTCGCCCTATTGTGACCAATAAGGTATTGACTCGAGGACAGCAGACCGGATTTCAGCTCGGTATTTAATGGTGTTCACCACTCTCTCCATTTCTGTTCACTTTTTTGATCGAGAGGATAATCAAACGAACGCTTGGAGGTCTTCAAAGTGCTGGTGTTTAAATAGCTTCTAACAAAAATCTTATCGATATAGAATGTGCAGACGACTTCTCTCCCATTTTCGAAGAACAGAATAGAACGTAGATGTTTTTGGATGAACTGACCATAGTCATCCCGTCCTTGGTCATGCGCTTTGCACTCACAAAGTGCAAGGTCACAGTCCTGGACATGCAAGCACTGAACAGGCCACCTACAATCAAAAAGGTACGCCCGAGGTTGTGGAGCGTCTTACCTATCCTTGCCTATCCGATTGTTGTGTGAGAAGTTGAGTTAGTACACGAATCTTTAGAGCTCGGGTCTGTTTCGCTTATTTGAGACAGTTTCTCATTGAATGCAAGGTGACTCAAGCTATCTGCTCATGGTGAAGATGCTTCAGTTGTTGCAGATTTTTACTGTAAATATATATGCGTTATGCGGAGCATATCTACTCCCTCATTGTTGACCGAATTTCTGTGATACGCAATGCGGTTCATCTTGTGCATCTTTGCTCCACATGAGCATCTCTTTGGCATATATGGTCTAACGATTCTTCCACCCACTTATTGACCCCCACACATATAGGTGATCTATGTTCAATAAAAAACACATCGAAATCAAATGAATTTCCATGCTTTGCACAGTCGAATTTCACACAGGCTCCTACAGCTCAGAATCCCAGTTCAACGATCCCCGCATTTTCTCAAGTGAGTTATTCATCATACAGTCCGCTCTGAAGTTCGATATGTTGCAATAACTATGTTAAGCTTTGTCTGAACCTTGTCTTCGGTCTGTCAATAAATATTTTGCAATCAATACACGACCGTAGATCCGGTTGCCTTGACTAAAGGCTTAAAGGAGTCAACAGTCGAAATGACAATGTTCAATGTGGACTGTTCAACTCTGCAGCTGGTCAGATTTTCGAATAACTGAGCCCTGCTTGAATCACTATTCGCTAGACCAAATTATTCAGCCTTAATGCTCGCTAATGTCAATACCTGCATTTTGGTTGTTGGTTTCCGGTTACCCTGTTGGAAAGAGGAGCTACGTGGTACAACCAGAAAGCGTGCAGCGACCTGGATTGGAACGACTAGTTGACTTTCTTGGGTGTCCGTCGAAGACCATGATTTAGAGGCTTTCGTCGGCTGTCATGCCTTGGTAATAGCTCTCATGTAAACCACGCGGCTGATTGCTTAGTTCACTTCCATGTGCCTACCAGTGGTTGACGGTGTATGCGCGGCGAATAATGTACTGTTCACTCCTGTGCTGGTTCTCGTTTGGTATTTCTTTAAACTGCGCACTCATCTCCACACTCATGCCTGCAGTTTTGTTGCACACAGCGTAATTTTTACCGGTCGATCGTAGATTTTTTGTAGTGCATACCAGTAAGCCGTGGCAAATGGGATGTTTCCGGTCCGTCGTTTTAGAACACTCATGTACCTCAATTTTTGGAATTTAGCCATTTGGAGCTTGGAAATAAGACAACAACCCAACATGAGGCAATTTCGATTAAAAAAAACAGGACTTATCTAACTAATCGATAGTGGCCCTTTTGAGGTCTAGTAATTTTTATAAGCGCACTCGGGAACACCAACTACCCGGTTTTCAGCAACTGTTACCTTTTCAAATCACATTTAATGTCTTCCGAAGACGATGCTTCAAAAGCATCATGGCAGGTTTTGGTATGTTTGATTAATTTGTGGCTTAGAAAGCTTTTCGACTGCTAAATGGGAAGTTTTCCTAGGTATACTCGTGCGATTCATTGCTAATCCATGTTGGAAGAGAGCATGGTCTGCATCGGTATGTGCATTCCAGAGTGATCACCATTCAGTTATTGAGAACCACCACCAGTAGCTAATGTCCACGTGTTCAGTGTAGCTTTTGTTAGTGGGGAACGTCATACAGCGCAAGGGCATCCGCTCTGGTTAAACCCAGTACTGCTGGGGAACAATTAATGGCCAGCACCGAGTTGTAAATAAAGTTCATCGTTGTCACTACGTCTTGAATCCCAACCAAACTCGCCACCAAATGGCGCCTCAGATGAACTGAGGCGTCCTACTTGCCCATTGAAACCTCTACCGACAGAATTCTATCTGAACTGATGGTGTATAACTAGCTAGTCATTGCTGGAAATCAGTCGTGCAGCTGGATCATACATTCACAGTGACGAAGTACACTTACTGACAGATTACGCTGATGTTAACAAGAGACTGAACTGAATCTATCGCATGTAATATTCTTCAACTGGTTGTGTTACACAAATGCCGCCTCATTTTTCTATTTGCACCGTATCTGAGTACATCGCAGCATATTTTCTCGGTATAACACACTGGTAATAAAGTTCCGAAAGAAGGGTTCTCATCAACTTTATGAGTTTTCTTTTATGTCTAGAAAAAGCGTGTCTAGTATTACAACCGGTGCGAGTCTTTGTAAAAGCTTGCCCTCATGCTGCCGCCCACTGGCCACACTACCCAGCTCAAGTTTGCCTGTTGTTTTATGTGTGGTTTTGTTGAGGTTCGTAGAGAACGTTGGTTGTATCCCACTAATGTGATCTTGATCCGACGATGCGCATATCCTGGCTAGTCCCGCGTTTTCTTTCCGTTCGTAAATCTAATTTTACGCTTTCCTTTAATCCATTACTTCTTTTTCTGCTTACGATGCCATTTTCATTGCGGTGTTTATCTAGCTCAGAGCTACCTAATTCACAGACCTAAAGTATAATTAGACTAACTAGTAAATGAAGACTTCCAGGCGTTTCACATGGTGATGCCAACAATTCACTTATCTACACTGCATAGCAAGCAGAATGACATATTAGCGAAATACACTCATTTGCAAACTAATTTGGTTTTGCGAGAGACTCACCTGGAACCCAGCTGAATCTCTCCTTTGTGATGTTTCCAGGACGACATATTGTTTTACCCGCAAGTTAAATCCACTCTGTACTCATTTTTGTTACATGCGAAGATTTTTTGTTTAGCGTGCGTGTAATGGTCGATATCACTCCCCACGATACTCGTCATTTCTGCTCCTGAACATCCGTTGAGTTACAGATTATCTTTGTTAACTGCGCCCGTCGTTCTCTAAAGCAAACTGCCCGGTCGATTGTTCATGTTTTTTCCCTCTACAACTTTTTAGAGGCCTACAGTGCGCGGCCTGTCATGCCATTTTGTTTCTGTGGAGTACATCTAGCACTGCGAGATCAGATACCGTCAGCGAGACCATAGGAGATCCTTTGTTATATACCCTATTTCTGTTAAACCGTTACCAAAACACTGCGTTAGACATTTGTTCATCTCAATGCAAACCCCGTTCACTTTTCCACCTCCACTGACACCGGTCGGTTAAATCGAATGACAAATAAATTGGACTCCTGGATTCATTTAGCGTTTCCGTATCTAGTCATTGAAGTGACTGAAACTGCCACTTTTCGTTTTTTTGCTGTACTTGGTTGGCTGTCGCGTGTGACTGTGAGCCTGCTAAGCTGATATCTTTGATTTCAAGGGTAACCACAGTAGAAAACTTATAGGGTTATCCCTGGACTTTGGTCTCTTTCCCAACGTGCTGGAGGGATTGTCTTCTATCTTTATATTTATTATTGTGCCGGTCTCCACCTACTAGACCAATGTCTCCATGTCACCCGGATTCGCCGTGTGGCCTGATGCAAGCAAAACGTATTCACATTCTGGACATGACAAATCCTCAGTAGAACACAATCCCAACCCTACATCACGGACTCAATTTCCAATCAACACAGCGTGGAACTCTGCACCTCATATTCAACCTGCAGTTCTCTCTGGACAAGTTCATTCCGAGTTTCCAGCGTCCACTTCGTATGGTTCTGGACTGGTTGGTTCCGCGTCCGCTGCACATCAAGCCTATTTGTTGCAGGTGAAATTTCCAACATTGTTCATGGAATGCGATTCTCTGTTTGTGCACACCACATGACGTTTTTGGCAGCATCTTCGTCGTATGATTGTCAGTTGATAAGGTAGAGGTTCTGAAGCCGGTTGAATCAGCAGTTTGTTAATCGATAAATCTCACGGAGTTGGCGGAGCCCCTGTCTGGATTTATCCATTTACCGAACTTTTCAAGATCTTTCCCTTCCCAAAATACAGACCTGTTCCAACAATGACTCCCTATTGATCAGGACAATTTTCTTGTTCCCTGAAATTAGTCTGTGTTAAAATGAAAATTCTTTCCTACAGCAAACGAAAGCACGTTACTCATCGCTAACGCTTCCCAATGACCTTGATTCATCCTACAAACAGCGGATCCGTGCACAGGAACTGTTTTATGAGCCTAGTCTTTCTCCGGGACACCAACTAGGTATGTACCTTCCTTGTCGTGCACCGTACTGTGGATTATAGCGCAACAAAAACAGTATACGAAACATCATTACCGACAGAATTTATGACTTCATATCCCGAAATCTATGAACGTTGGTCATTTCCAAACCTAAGCTGATGGATGCCAATCACGACCTATAAAAAGTCGGTCACAGTCATTACATTTTCAGTTAGTTCTGTCACCGAGTCCAGTATATTCCAAGAGATCTTCGCAGCCTCATCTCTATCGCGAAGTTGTCAATCTTCGAATTATGAGGTAATAGGTCATATAATCTCCCTTCAGCTTTCCGTTCCATGGCATCTGTTTTTTAACTTTTGAACTTGATCGTAGTCTCCGTCACAACCAGGGACTGTCTGTCTTGACCTTTCTTCAGTGCATTTGGTGCATGGTGTCTACTACAGGGAGTACGTGTGATTTCTGCTCATTTATCAGAAATGACCAATGTCAGAATCCCAGAGAAGCGGCAAACCGTCATTGCTTTGTAGAAAAGATCTAACCTCGAGCCCAACTTTTTCCGTAACTCTTTTTCAAGTTTGTTCTAGCTTTTGGAACACGGCGACTCAACTCAGGATTAGCAGTCAGTGTGCTACTAAGGTAACAGGAATGTGTACAGTATTCGATGAAATCTCCGCGGAGTTGTTGGAGATTCCACGTTTCCTTTATGTCAATTAACAGGTCAACCGCTGTTGTTTCAGTCGGGAATTCATCTGCTTAGTGTTTCGGCTAATCATACACTCATGCAGACGTAATCTTCGGCGAATTAGGGAACAGGGGCCTTTTTCTGGTAGACCAGGCTCCTTGACCGAGCGATCGTGCGTTGGACAGTCTGTCAACTGGGTATTCCGACCGCAAACCAGGTTTCCGTTGCACTGTGGAACAAGATCGTGACCTATTTCGAATGCCCACATCTTTTACTAGTTCTTTTTTGACGGACCATCTTCGATTTTATCACAGCTGATGCTCCTTATGACCCACACTATACAGAGACCGCAGTAGCGTGCTGTTCTTCATGATCGTGACGAAAGTGAGCCTATTTTGTTTTTCGGAGTTGAGTAGCCAGTTGTCACTGGTTTCAGAGTTGTGTTACCAAACTCATGTATATTGTGCACCAAACCCGTGTTTGGTATGCAGCGACGGTAGATATTCATATATTTATGTGATTTTCGCATTTACATTCATTGGTCAACATTCGTTGACCAAGATAGCCGAAAATGTCTATGGTTTGATTGCTTTTCCCGCAAGTGCTCATCTCTTATAGATGAAATTGCTTGAACCTTGTGAGAAAAACTTTCGGCGAATCGAACGGTCTGGATTATCGTTTTGAAGGATTGGGGCATTTGTTTCTTCATGAATTTTTTACCTACGAACTTGGACCGTTTCATCTAAACTATCAGCCACACAACTGGGCGGTCATTATCCAGTTCACTGTACCAAGGCTCTCAGCGCTAACTAGAATACCTGCATCAGTCATGGATTAGTGGTTTTTCGTATCTGGATGAATACTTTATTAGATCACTGCTTTGACCGTAATTTTCAAAGCCGGTCTGTAAAGTACCAGACTCGGGTTTTTCATGTTTTCCTTGTGAATAAGCTTCCGATTGCGTTGTGTATCACAGTTGTCAGGTTGTTAGGATCCAGAGTCCACTATTTCATACACTACTTAGTAACACTAATAATATTCTTTTACTGATCTGTCTGCTGATTGCCTCCTTTTGTTTCTATCTAGGTGCAACGTCAGTTGGCCTCCCTGCAACTCAGTGGGACAGTTAACAATCCACAATAAACACTTGATTTGACAACGCCCTGTACGGAGACTGGAACATGTCAAATCTCTGACCTTTGTTGATTTCCTGTATTCGCAGGCATTCAATCAGCCCTGTTTTGCCCGTCCCGTCCCTGGACTGTGATATTTAACTTGCAGCACGGATAACTACGACTCTCAAGCGTACATCATCATGTCCGATCATCAAATACAAGATAAACATTTTAGTCGAATCGCGTTGTCCATGTCTGCCTTCGTGTTCACTGCATACCAACTTGTTCTGGTCAGCGTTGTCCTCCAGCGAGGTCGGTCTCTAGCACATCTTTCTTCTCCATTTCACTCGCCCGCTTTCTTCTTGGCTATGTAAAGCATTGTCGTGTGAGACCATAAGGTCACATCATTCGCGTCACCGACGTTGGTTTTGACTGCTTCGTCTTCGTCCTGTTCCAACAGAGGTGTCCAAATTTGTAATACCCGGGACCCATGAGGAGCATATCTTGACTGATATGATATATGTTGAATGAAAATTTCTTCATTTTTCGCTACTAGCAGCGCGGTGTATGGTAAAGTCCCGGTGTGCCTTCGTTCGATGGTTTACGGCTTAACATTGAGTTGGAATGTTCCCGTCTCCCATGCGACCCGTTACCATATTGCAAGCAAGTATACCGAAAATACAGTAGTTAGGTAGGCACCTCTCTCGAAGCAAAGTTGTGTGACGCACGGAGCTTTAGTTATGGAAGAGCCGTGACAAGCAGAAGCTAAGAAGATAGGTGTTTTTGAAGGCCATTACTTTGTACCACGCAACTCAATCGCTTGACTGACGTCGCAGGACTGCCCACTTGTGGACTACGCTCATTCTATCTGAGCATTCACTGAGTCGTTCAGAGGCCACTCCCTACGCACATTGATCATACCTTGAGTTAAATTGGCGTGATAGTAATTTGCACAACTATCATATGAACCGTATCATAGTTGTCCGCATTTCAAATGGGCCGAGTGTGCAGACGGTTGGTTTCACTATTCGAAAGTGCACAATGTTTGTAAACCACTAGTGCTCGTACTAGTCTGCATGCTGTTTTGGGGGTCAGCACCGGGATCTTCGCTGGTAATCTACGTCATGCCTCACATTGCTTACTTCGAATATACCAAGGCTGGTCTAGTTCCAGTCCAAGTTACCATCCCCCGTTTTGATGGTACAGTCTAACACTATGCCGTAGCCAGAGGGAAGACCAATACGATATGAAGCAATATGTGGTAATCCGGATGACAGTAAGGTGTTCCCTCCAGAGACTTTCATGTTCATATTTGTGGAAGTAGTGATTCTAACTTCCCCTAACAAGGTCGGGTTAGAAAAGGTCGGTTCCAAAAAACCGATCATTAGATGTCAAACGGTACGCTTAAAGTGCCTTTAAAACTGAAGTGTGTGGTGCCGCTCTGACGGCACCCGCCCTGCCTAGTCGCATTAAGAGTCAGACAGGCATTATCCTAGCTAGGCAAGCCTTGCACAACTGAGCACGCCGGAGTCACTAGCTAGTCAGGAAACCCCTCTCTACTGCCATCTCGTGGGTTAGACCTTTAAGTCAGAGGCTAATGACGGGCTCAGAACAAAACCCCACCTCATCCTACTGCGTGTGGTTCAGATTTTCGAGTCAGATTCTCAAGGTGTAGTGTGTCAAATCACATTCTTCGGCCTGCAAACGGGGAAGTAGTGTCTGCTTGCCCAGCTTCGTAGCAGCGGATAGTATCCTTCATATGCATACGAATAATACCCGGTCTGTTTGTAGCTCTATACATTCGGCGTCTATTCCTGGCCCCCTTTCGAGAAAAAACTCAATCTCGTGATACTACTAACAGAGAATCTGTGCAACGCATCAGTGTTCAATAGCCCTACTCTACTATAGACCAACAGACTTCTCATATGTACCTCTTAAAGATTCCATGTGTTGTTTCTGGGACACGCGTACAAGATCCTACTACCGTCATATGTCTGAATGTGGTCCAAAGCAACTCAGACACGAGTACTGTTACTGCACCACAAAAGCAAAGTTCGAGATGACTGAGGACAAGTGTCAAATGCTCCAAACGTCGTTTGAATCGGTTCAGCAGTCACTTTACCACCAGCTGATCTGAGAAGTTTATATCCTGTGGAACCCTCGAACTTTTCCGAGTTGTGAACTGCCGCATTACGGCTTCATCCACCTTTCTAATTATAGCCATCCCCGTTTTTAGTTGTGTGGTTTCTAGCTACGATTGTTTTAACCAATAGTACTGTTACTGTCAGCTTATTTTTTTATCACCAATCCACCTTATGTGTTAACTTTTCTTGTGGGGGGGGGGGCTGCGATATGTATTGTTCATATGCATATCACTTTCGTTTGAACAGTAGTCCTCCTGTTCTGAAGTAATTATTCTGGTGAGTCCACAGCAAAGCACTGGACTCGAGTTTCACTCTTATCAATCTTTGCGTGGACTCTGTTAATGCGATCGTCGTCCCGACTGATAGATTTGGATCTTGGGCTAAATTGTATCAAGTTTGCACATTCGAGATACGGGCAATCGCGTATTGCTTCTTGAAAGCCCACACAACCTGTAGACCTTGGTTATGTTGAATGTAAGTGTTGTTTGACATTTTCAGTCTTTTTTCATCCTATTGGCTTTTGTTGTGGTGAAATCGAACTTCAACAATAAGGTAAGCACAGGTGGGTATTCTATGTAGTAGTTTTTTGTTATGATGGCTACTACAAAGTATAGGTCTCTAATAGGAAGCAAATGTGCGCATCCATCAATCAAAAAGATGGACCAAAGAGGAGAGTCAAAACCACGACTTCCTGTCTACCGAATAAATGATTATCCGGCCGAGCGACCGCGAACGTTGTTCCGTTGAAGACTATTGAAACCCACTTTTCATTTGCCCTCAATCTGTTATATCTGTTGATTCGCCAGTCTGTGGTATCTGTTACTGACCCCGCTCCAGTGCCTGGTGCCGGAAAGACTCACAGAAGGGAACACAACAGCCATATTCCGAACAAGCGAGTGAGTGCGTGTGAGTGCTCAGGTTACGACGGTCGCTCGTGCTTCCATGATATGCTTGAATGCTGATCACATACGCTCATGCTTCTGTGGCGTAGCTGAACACTCATCGGCTTTTGCTAAATTGATTGAATGACTGACTGGCCTGGATGCTTGCCGGCTTCCCTATTGAGATTTTGGTGGATTTTTTTGGGTCTCAGTAAGTAGTGGGCGTTTTGGGGTTAATTTCAGGAATCTGACCTTCCTGATACCTCCCCTTTTTGGCCGTTCAACGTGAGATTTTCGGCGCGGGTCAAGTTGAAAAGGCTTCACCAGTCTAATGGCGCGACCGGTACGGCGTCTCGGTTGCAACAATGGATCTGAAATGGTGGCTATTGGTGCTGTTCTTGGGAGAGTTCTCGCATGTGGACTGAATCCTGTTAGGTCCCCGCACACCAGTCTAAGGCGCGACCGGTACGGCGTCTCGGTTGCAACAATGGATCTGAAATGGTGGCTATTGGTGCTGTTCTTGGGAGAGTTCTCGCATGTGGACTGAATCCTGTTAGGTCCCCGCACTATCACAACAGGAGTCTGCCAAGGATCAGTTTTAACTCCCAACTTATTTTTTGCTTTTGAACAATATTTTCTTATCTTTTGCTTCTAGCTCCCATATGTTTCATTAACAGACTTCTAGCAAACTTTGATGACCGTACACAGACCACCGGTATCGTGAATGTCGATCACGGTGCGATCGGTGCGGTGGTCCATCATCCATCAGCGATTTTAATCATTCTATATTTTCATCATTCTCTCCGCTGTTCTCCCGTCTGAAGCTCAGCATGGATCTTGGCCATATTCACTGCTCTTTATTTTCACTACGCTTGAAGTAGAAATTTTCTCAGAGATGTTTTTTTCCTCGGCCGCTCTCAGTCGTGCTTTAAGCCTCCTTAAATTGTGCTATCAAACAAAACCCGAATTCACTCCTCTTTTGCGGAGGGACCTTCAATGAAATCAAAGAGTTTGGTGGCCTCATTCTCACTTGCCCCCGCATATCGATAACATTTTCATATTTCTGGGTCGGAGTTTAACATCTCCATTATTTTTGTCAGCACTACTGTTCAAGAGGACGTTCCCATGGGTTTGAATTGTGGCCTCCAAAGCTTTGAATTGTGCCACTTACCTTTGCCTTCATTGTACAATTGATATTTTTTGTCTCCTATACTTTTCTCGATACGCCTTCCTCACAGCTTTTTGCCCCCTATGTTCCTAACATTTTATTCATGTTAACAGTACAACGACGAGAAAATTCCACAATTTTGCGACTGGTGCAATCAGGTGTGACATCATACTTGGGCACAAACGTCAGTCGTTTCCTATCACCAAAATCAGTGAGTGGAGCATTCCGAAGTAAAATAAAAAGTATGCAGTTTTTGTGTATTAACTCACGATTTATTCCGAATTTTTCCATGCTATTTTCAACGGCAGTTCTCACCGTTTTGCTCCAGAGCAATTCAGAAATAATCGAATAGGAAGCCAGAAAAGGCCTGAAGGGAATTTTGGGTCCTAACTGAATCCGCTATGTGCACTTTCAATATCATCATGCCAAGTATTCTCTTCTAGCTATACCATGCACGAACCTCCTTGTAGTCTACCCGAACACGCATGACATTAAGATACAAGGACTTTTTGCGCAACTTTGCAAGAGGTTGTTAGCCTATATGGGATTTTGCTATGAGGGTTGTACTTTCTCTGCCGGTAGTAATAAAACCCACAACAGGCCTAAGATTTCCAATCGAGCTTTCATACTGGAAGTGAAACCAATCTGTGTTCCATCTCTTGAGCGATTCGAGCTCGCAACCTCCCGGCCACGAGCGGTTTTAAAGTAGTATTCAAATCTCCCACCATCGGCTAGGAATATCCAATACGGTATGTGTTGTATGCACCAAGCGATTCTGTCTTTTCGGTTGGATATTGCTTAACACTATTGTCTGTCTTCCAGTCTTAGACAGCTTCGGGAAATCGAAGAAGGTTCACATGAAGAGCTGTTTGCTTTCAGAAAGGTAATTTTTCACTGCTTACCCAAATTTTGGTCGAAAATCAGTTCATAGTAAAGTATATCCATTTAGGCTACACTCCAGTCAGGGATTAACGTCCAATTGAAATTCAAGGGCTGATGAGATCTTACACCAACTCCCACCTGCTTGAATTCCTTTCATGCCCTAAACTGATGTTTGGCTGGACGAATGCCACTCAGATTCTCAGACCAATCGCAATTTAAACTTACAGTTTCATAGTAAACTTGAATGCTGTTCCAGTTTCCTGCTCGAACTGAGAGGACAGTGCAACAGGTCAAAGATGTATTTAGCTGTTTATCTGGTTTCCAATGCCCAGTGATGACAGCAGACGAATACAGAAGTGCAGCGAAATAGCCGGAATTTTTTTAGTTGACTCGCTTCAGCGTGGATGGAGGAATGAGACATGGTGCTACTCATGGTCGCCGTTAGACTGACTTGTACTC